CCCCCCCCCCCGCGGCCCCCAGGCGTTCTGGGTGCCGTCCAAGGCGCCCGAGGCCAAGCTGTCCAAGGAGAAGCCCGACGGCAGCACCTACTGCCCCGCCAGCGGCAAGAAGCTGCGGCTCAAGGACCTCGTGGACGTGAAGTTCACACCCGTCGGCGAGGGTGGGTGGGAACTTCACGAGCGCCCCGGAAGCGCGCAGAACCACTGGCCGCAGAACCCACGGCGTGAATCACCGCTCCTTGTCGGTTGTGCTGTGCCGTGCTGTGCGAGGATAGGCTTCCTAACGCCCGCGACGGAGACGCTTTGTATGCCTGCATGCGTGCCTGCGTGGTGCCTGCGCGCCACGGTGTTTCGTGCATGCTGACACCCAACACTACAACTTGCTTTCCGGCTGCCGACACTTCTGTTGGAGCACCAGGCGCCGACGCCACCTCATCAAGCCCCCCCCCCCACCCCCCACCATCCTGGGTCCTGTGTCACCCTGCCCATCCCGCAGGTGACGCGGGGCTGTTCATGGACCCCATCACTAAAGACACCTTCACAAACACCAGCAGGCTCGTCGTGCTGACGACAACGGGTGGGTGGCACGGCTGCTTGCACGCGCACACGAGCACGTGTGTGTGCGCATGTTTGTGTGCGCGTGAGTGAGTGAGGGTGTGGGTAAGTGTGTGCAGCTGATTGCAGGTGAGAGAATAAAAGCGTGTGTGTGTGTGTGTGTGTGTGTGTGTTTGTGGTGAGCGAGTTGTTTTTGTTTCTGCACGCGTGCTGATCTGGATTGACCAAAAGGGGGGGGGGGCCCGTGACCGAGCATCCACAGCTCGCGGCAGCAGCGTCGCCACGCCCGGCATGTGCCTTACTCGTGATTGCACAAGCTGGGGCCGGTTTGGCGGCAGTGTATTCCGCGACCGGCCTCCCCCTTCTCAGGCTGCCCCATGGCCCGCACCCCCTCCCCCAGGCGACGTGCTGCTGGAGGGGACCTATGAGAAGTGCGTTAAGCCGGACGGCGTCTTCAAGGGCAAGAAGGTGAGCAGGGAACGGGCAACGCCGCTTTCTTGTTGCGACCTCTTGTTACCCCCAAACCGGAGTCCCATGGGTGGGCGGGCCCACGCCCCTTGTCAAGACGCGGGTGACCTGAGCGCCCCAAGCAATCTGCCCTCCCCGCCTGCGCACGCACCCATCCCGCTGCCTGACCTGCATCTGCAACACGCCCAGGGCTCACACCCCACCCCCATCCCCAACCCACCAACTGCTCTACCCACCCGATATGCTCCTCATGCAATC